TCCACATTCTTTTCGATCTTTTTTTTTTAAAAAAAATGGGAATAAATATGGATCTCTTCCATTCAGTTGACCAGTTAGCTATTTTCCATATTTGCTGGCAGAAAATGGTCTTATGTTCAGGGTTTCACCTGTTTCCTGAAACACCTCAACTGGCATTCCATCAATTCTCGGGACCTTATTTCTTTTGTCACTCATACTTAATGTCAGGCATGGGGACTTTGGTGAGGCAGTTGTAGAATCCACGTCTTCTATGAATAATCCCCACTAACTCACTGGAGTGTAAGCTCTGCATTGGTTCTTGACATGATGACATTGAGTTTGTGGGGTTTTGTTTTGTTGGGTTTGGTTAGGCAAGGTGGCCTATTGTTAAGAAGCTGCATTGCTAATCCAAAGACTCATGATTCAAATCTACCAGCTTCCCCACAAGAGAAAAATGAGCAATATATTCCTATGAGATTTACTGCTCTAATAACCAAGTGCTGGAGTATGAGTCAGAAGTCTGTTCCAACTCAATGACACATACCAACAACAGCAAGCAGTAGAATCTGACTTCAGAACCATGGACAGCTTCCTGTGCAGCCAGACAAGAACCAAAATTGTTCCCATGTCCTGCTGTCAACACTAGTGTTTCACTGAAGGGCAATTACTCCTCTATTCTCTTTCCACTCAAACATTCAGCACTTGACAATAGGCATTGTCTTCTGAACTAGAAAGTAGAAAATGAAGAAATTGTGTCTTTGGATTTCTCTCCACTGCCAAAATGTCCACTCTGTGGAGAAGCAACAGCGTAATCAGGTAGAAGGGAGTTTGAACATCAGAGGTAAGCCTCAGCTTGAGTGTAGATATAGGAGGCTCTGATGCTAGGATCTAAGAACATTAGGCTCCTCTGTAAGATAGGGGAGCTATAAAGAACTGATGTCTTTGAGTGGTGGTGCTGAAAAAGAGTACCCACAAAGAATATTCCATGAACTACCAAAAGAACAAACAAGCATGTCTTGGAGAAAAGTGCAGTCTGGGTCTGGGTGTCCCTTTGAGATGAGGACAATGAAGCTCCTCACATACTTTGGGCATGTTGTTAGGAGGGGCCATCATGCTTGGAAGTGTAGAGTGTTAGTGAAAGAAAGGAAGCCCCTCAGGTAGGTGTATTGACCCTGTGGGCTCAAGAATCTCATAGATAATGAAGATAGCACAGTATAGGGCAGGATTCTAATCTGTTGTTCACAGAGTCACTATGATACATACTCAACTTGATAGCACTGAACAACAACATCACCTATCGACAAACTAAATAATTAATATGTCTGCTTTTTGCCATGGGAGTCTGAGGACTGAAGAGACTGAAGTCAGAAGGAACTAGGATGACTTTGTTTAATGCTCAGGATCAACCATGAGTTATGTGGGTACACAGGCTGGGAGAGTGGGGTCTGCCTTGTAGGTGCCCAGACAAGTCACTCTTTACTAAGATTTCACCATTCTTCAGTTGCTACACTTCTGCATCAAATCTCCTTCTACTTTCTTTAATAAAAACAAACAATAAATACAAGTATTGCAATAATTGAAAAATTATCATTGTCCTATAGACTGGAATACCTTTAAAAGCCTCTTAGTGAGAAGAGCAGAAGAGTCTAGTGGTCTCAAACTCAACTGGTCAGTCAAGTAGATGGCAGGAGGGGCTATAGTCTTCCCTGAGAGTACATTTGCTGACTAAAGGTCTTCAAATAAAATTTAAGGTAATTTTCCCACCCAAAGAGAGTTCTTATGCAGCTTGATCTTTCCTCTAATTCCTTACTTCACTAACACAGAAGCTGGGTCCACAGAGGAACAGTGACTAACTGAGGGTCATCACACCCAACAGTGGGAAACTGTAAACGGAAGGCAGTGTGTGTGGCCAGCTCTTTAAGGGGATCTTTCATCCCTTCCCTGGGGTGTCTGAGTGGTTGGAAAGATTTGGCAATAGGTGCCACGACCACAGCCTTTTAGCCTGACACATGGGCCTCCATCACCTCATCCATCAATTGTCACAAGGACAGAAGCCAACTTTCCGATGCCCTCTGGGCCCACCAGCCAGAACAGAGAAAGATTCACAATATGTATCTAACCAGGCAGGATAAGGCAAGGTTCAGATCCATTGTTCACAAGGTTGCTGTGAGTCATAGTCCACTTCGTTGGCACTTAACAGCATCTAACCAGAGGGAACAATTAAAAATCCAGAGTGACCTGTGTTTTTTTTATCTGCTGTTTACAAACCCCACAATTGTAAATTGAAGAGGAAACAACAGTGGATTATCACACTGCTCTTTCTATGTGCTAGCCACTCTGAGCAGTTGTTGTTGTTGTTATGTGCTATCAAGTCGATTGTGACTCATAGCGACCCTATGGAGAAGAGCCCTAAACCCTACTCTATTCTGTGCCAACCTCACTGTCTCTGACACACCTACTCTTATTACCCCAGTCACCCTCTCCTGCACTGTCCCTCTACCCTCCCAAACATGATGTCCCTCTCCAAGGACTGGTCTCTCCTTGCAACACGCTCCAAGTATGTCAGACGAAGCTTCAGAATCCTTGATTCCAAGGAGCAGCCCGGCTTCACCCTCTCCAGGACAAACCTGTTCTCCTAGCAGTCCACAGTATATTCAATACTCTTCCTAGCATGACAGCTCAAAGGCATCAATTAATTATCTTTTTTTCATCCCTAGTCACTGTCTAGCTCTCGAACGCATAGCACACAACTGCAAAGACTATGGCCTGGATCAGGCGCCCCTTATTATTCAGCCTGATGTCGTTGCTCTTCAGTACTCTTGAGAGGTCCTTGACAGCTGACTTTCCCAATGCAATTTGTCTCTTGATTTCCTGGCTTCTGGTACCAAGAGTACTGATTGTGGAGTTAAGTAAACTAAAACTGTTAACTATCTCAAACTCTTCACTATCCATCATGATGCTACCAATTGGCCCAGTGTTGAGAATCTTTGCTTTCTTGATGTTGAGCTTCAATCCATATTGAAGGCTGAAGTCATTGACCTTCTCCAGCTAGCAGTAGATACTGTTATTATCCCGTTTACAGATAAACTGAGGAACAGTGGCAAAGTAATTCCTGCAGACATTTTAACTTGCAAGTGTCAAGGCTAGGTGTCATGCAGCTGTCTGCTTCAAATGCACGTTTGGCACTGCACAGTAGGACTCCTGGGGAGTGTGGAGCTTGGCTTTGTGGCTCTAAAACTGCTTTGCTATTGAGACTAGAAGAGGGAGGTGTGTCTTTTTACTCTAGATGGGAGGGATGAAGTGTGATCTCAAGAACAGTAGCCCCTCAACCGATTCTGCTGTTTCAGAGCCTGTCACCTGCCAGCCTGCCTGTGGATGAGGACACAAGATTTGTGTGCCATTGGGGGTACAAGATTTGTGTGCTCTCATAGGTCTGTATGCACCAGGCCTAGTGCATGACACCGGTGGCTCCCCTCCGTCTGTGGAGAATTGGGTCCCTCAGCAGAGTGGCCCTCTTGGAAGGAGAATCCTCAATAAACTCTGCCCTGCTGGGCCTTCCCAGAGAGCCTGAGCTCTTGTGCAAGGTTTCCCACAGCTTTTAGAAAGGACCCTTTCTAGGCCACAACACTAGATTCCACATCTACTCTGGTCTACTCTGAGCAACCTTGTTCTGAAGGTGGGGGTGGGGGAAGCTGGCAGAAGAAAAGAGGGAGGGCCCTTGCAGGAGGATGGGCATCTTGACGCAGTTGGGAAGAGTTTGGGAGAAGTGTGGGTTAAATAAGATAGGCTATGGAAGTGAGAGTAGCTAGGGCTTGGGAAGCAGGAGAGTTAAATAGGAAGGAGGGTAGTACAGGCTGTAGAAGGCAGAGGTGTGGGGAGAGGGGTGGGAGAGGCCTTTGAGAGTCTGCTATCTGGGGCTGGGGTGGGGGCGAGGCTACTATCCTCCACCCACATGAGCTCATAATCGGAATTCGCCCTCTTTACATTCTCCCTGAAGGGCCCATAGGTAGCAACCCAGCCCAGCAGTTTCTGTGTCTCCCTCTCCCTCGCTCAGTGTGAGAGGGTTCAGGGGCGGGGCCACAGGAAAGGATGGGAGAGGGGGTCCATGCCGGGAGCTCCACTGGTCTCAGCTGGCACTTCAGCTGAGAGAACAGATGGACACAACTGCGGCTCACCTCGGGGGCTCCCTGTCCGCTGTGCGCCAAGATCCAGGTTGAGGCGGAGATCTTGAGTCCCTTGTGCCCCTTCTCCCGCGGGATCGCGGAGAATCAGCCCCCTTGATCTCTATCCCTCTGGGAGAAAAGCGAGCGTGGATCTCGCAGGTCCTGGAACTGGGTGAAGGTAAACTGCTTTTTGAGAGATGCACCCACCCCCAGGAGCTTGGCTGGTACTCTTTTTGCACTAAGACCCCTTTCCGGGGCTCCTAGTCCCAGCGCTTCTGGGGAGCGGACCCCAACCCGCCAGCGCCCCGCCCCTAGCTCCCGCCCCGCAGACGTCGCATTAGCATGAGAGACGCAAGTGGCCGGGGCACCACTCGGGGGCTGGGACTCGCCGCGTCACAGCCCCGAGTGGAACAGGGGAAAAAGAGGAGGAGGCGGAGGAGGAGGCGGCAAGAGGCGACGCGAGGGGCGGGGAGGGGCGGGAGGGGGAGGCGGCAGCCGGCAGCAGCATGCCCCTGGGCGCGTGGCCGGCGTCTGAGCGCGGTGGGGGTGGCTCCCGGCGCCAGGGGCTCGGCGCACTAGGTCCCCAGCCTAGGTCTCCCGTGAACCCACCGCGCTGCTCGCTCCGGAGTCTAGAGGCTCCAGATCCCCAGCTTGGCTGGATCAGAGACAGCGGCTAGCCAGACGGGATCCTTGCGTTTGCGGGGTGGGGGACCATGAGTCCTGCGACCACCTGAGGCACAGAGGACTCTGCGCGGTGCGGACTGTGCTCCGCAGCTTCACACTCCTAGTCCGCGCCCGGGACAGCGCCTGCACCCTGCGGAGGCGTCCTAGCACAGCGGCGGGGGTGGAACAGGGGCCATGGAGCCCTCGGAGCCGGCGGGCCAGGCCTTGGCGGCGGCCACCAAGCTGTCCGAGGCCGTGGGAGAGGTGCTGCAGGAGCCCCGGCGGCAGCGGCGTCTGGTGCTCGTCATTGTCTGTGTGGCGCTGTTCCTAGACAACATGCTGTATATGGTCATCGTGCCCATCGTGCCCGACTACATCGCCCACATGCGTGGGGGCAGTGAGGGCCCCACGCCGACCCCTGAGGTGTGGGAGCCCACCCCGCCGCCGCCCACTTTAGGCAATGCCAGCGCCACCACCGCCAATGCCTCAGAGCCTCCGACGGCCGTGAGGCCCTCCAGGTCGGTCCTGCGGCCCCGCTATCCCACGGAGAGCGAGGACGTCAAGATTGGGGTGCTCTTTGCCTCCAAGGCCATCCTGCAGTTGCTGGTGAACCCTCTGAGCGGGCCCTTCATCGACCGCATGAGCTACGACGTGCCGCTGCTCATCGGCCTGGGCGTCATGTTCGCCTCTACGGTACTGTTCGCCTTCGCAGAGGATTACGCCACCCTTTTCGCAGCGCGCAGCCTGCAGGGCCTGGGCTCTGCCTTCGCGGACACGTCTGGGATCGCCATGATCGCCGACAAGTACCCGGAGGAGCCGGAACGCAGCCGCGCGCTAGGCGTGGCGCTGGCCTTTATCAGCTTCGGTAGCCTGGTGGCGCCTCCCTTCGGGGGTATCCTCTATGAATTCGCCGGCAAGCGAGTGCCCTTCCTTGTGCTCGCCGGCATGTCGCTACTGGACGCACTGCTGCTGCTGGCTGTAGCCAAACCCTTCTCGGCTGCCGCGCGGGCGCGGGCCAACCTGCCTGTGGGCACGCCAATTCACCGCCTCATGCTGGACCCCTACATCGCTGTAGTGGCCGGCGCGCTCACCACTTGCAACATCCCGTTAGCCTTCCTGGAACCCACCATCTCTACGTGGATGAAGCACACAATGGCAGCGTCCGAGTGGGAAATGGGCATGGCCTGGCTGCCGGCTTTTGTGCCGCACGTGCTGGGCGTCTACCTCACCGTGCGCGTAGCTGCGCGCTATCCACATCTCCAGTGGTTGTACGGAGCGCTGGGGCTGATTGTGATCGGTGCCAGTTCATGCGCTGTGCCAGCCTGCCACTCCTTCGCGCCGCTCGTGGTTGCGCTTTGCGGCCTCTGCTTTGGCATCGCGCTGGTTGACACGGCACTGTTGCCCACGCTGGCCTTCCTCGTGGACGTGCGCCACGTCTCGGTCTACGGCAGCGTTTACGCCATCGCTGACATCTCCTATTCCGTGGCCTATGCGCTTGGGCCCATCGTGGCGGGACACATTGTGCACTCGCTGGGCTTCGCGCAGCTCAGTCTTGGCATGGGCCTGGCCAACCTGCTCTATGCGCCCATCCTGCTGCTGCTGCGCAATGTGAGTCTCCTAACGCGTTCCCGCTCTGAGCGCGACGTGCTGCTGGAGGAGCCGCCACAGGGACTGTATGATGCTGTGCGCTTGCGAGAGCGTCCGGTGCATGGTCGGGACGTCCTGTCAGGAAGCCCGTCTGGCCCCTTTGACGAGTGTGAGGACGACTACAACGACTACTACACCCGCAGCTAGCAGTCCTGCGAGTCCTCTCGATCACCCCTCAGTCTCTCGTCAAGGCGGCTATCCTGTGAGCGCTCTGGTCAACTGCAACTTAAGACCTGTCCCTTCCAGCGAGTACTTCAGCCTCTCTCACCTTCCCCATTCCCCTGGTCTTGACTACTCTAACCCTCCTCCAGGCCCAGCAGACCCTTTCTCTTCCACTCTCCACCCTCCCCTAACAGGAAATGAAGCATCAAGGAAGAGAAGCAAAATGTATTCCTTTCGGGGTGTAGAGGCGCAAGGGGTACTACCTGGGTCCCCATGCATCCGTCTGTCTTTCCTCCTGTTCCTCCCAGTGCCAGCTTGTCCTGCTGCACCGCGGTGCCTCTGGCCCAAACCAATAAACCATATTATTCAGGATCAAGTCTCTTTCCTGATGCATGGGGCCTCGGACGGGGGAAGGGTGAAGCAGATCTCCAATTCAGGCTAGAGTGCGGTGGGCATGTAAGGGACCTATGGCTCTTTTACTAATGGGAATGGAAAGGAGGGACACAAAATTAACAGGGCCCCTTCTCATAGACTCTCTTGACCTCCCCTTTCTTTTCTCTCTCCCTTCTCACGTCAGCAGGTGTTCACACAGCCACGCCCTTCCAGACCCTCTTAGCCTTTGTGTACGGAGGGCGCTTAGCCCCGAAATCAGCGAAGGCGCTGAAGTCCCCGGCTTCAGGCCTCACTCCTAAAGGACGCGCCCTGGCCAGCCCCGGAGCTCAGAAGAGGCAAGCTGGGCTCCATTTCCGCCCTCAAGTTCTTCCCGGTCCAACAAAAGAGTAGGGGGCAAAACGCTGCCAGCAAAGAAAAACGTCTATCTGGATGCTCGCGAGCGTGGTGTGTGTGTGCCAGTTAGAAAGCTGGTTGTGAGTGGGCTTGCGCCCTCCGCGAAGACCCTAATGTGTCCTGCAGGGCGCCGACTTCACCTGAGGGCGTTCCTTCAGGAGCTGGTGCCAGGTCCCCTCCTCCCACCCCTACGTCACCTCGCAGTGAAAACCCAGAGCTGCCAGTGAAGTCTGTAAGGTGGACTCAGCCTCTCCTGGAGTCCCGGAGCCCTGGGCTGGTTTGTCGTCATTCCCAGTCCCAAGGCTGGCCGCTGGATGAGGGGCCAAGAAGGCTGGGATTCGGGCGTAGAGGGGCTGTCAGGTCTGGGTCTGCCTGTGGGTTCACCGCACCGGTGGGAGTCGGCGCTACTGTGCTCACAGCTGTTCTTAGTCTGCACTCTGAGATGGTGGTGCTCCTGTGAGGATCTTCTCTTGAGGGTAGGGTGACATTTTCTGGGAGAGTGTCAGCCTCTGATTGCATGCCCCTTAGCATTCCAGGTCTGTATAAACTCCGTACTGTTTAACATCCACCAACCCATCCCCTTCCCCCAGTACCGGCAGCGATGGAGGAAGAAGGAACGTCCTGTAGTGATCAACTAACAGAATTATTATTTTCAAAGGATCTGTGGTCGAGTTTGAGACAAGCCTGGGAATAGGGCACAGATTCCCGGTCCAGCCTCCCCAGGGCTCGAGGCAGGAATGATGGGGTTAGGCGAGCGGCTATGGGGAAAGAGAAAACAGGCTGGGGACAATAGGGAAGGAGGGGGCATTGCTTTGCTCCCTCTTCTTAGGTCTGAGTTCCCCTGTACACCAGAAGAGCTCTTCCTGGACGCCAGCCGGGTTCGTCCAAGAGCCCCTCAGGGCACAGAGAAGCCGCGCTCAGGGAACAGAAGATCCAGAGGAAGAAAAAGATGGGAGGGGTGGGGAGGAAGCAGAGATAGACGAGGGAGGGGTAGAGAAGGGAGTGGCGAAGAGGCGCGGCTAGTTCGCAGCCAGTAGGGTGGCCGCAGGGACCCGGACGGAGGCGGCAGCCCCTCTGCAGCTCTACTGACGCTCCCACACCCGCCAGCCCGAGTCCAGTTCCACGCAGCTGGCGGCTGCCTCGGCGGAGCGAGAGTGAGCAGGTGAGGCAATGGGGTGCCGGGATTGCGGGTTGCAGGGCGCCGGGCGCGGGTCACCAGGGAAGGAAGCTCGGTCCACGATCTAAACTGGGATGGGAGACCCTCGCGTTCCAAGAAGCCCACAGGATCTGGGCGGCTGCATCTGTCGGGTATCACGAGGAAGTCGCTGCGTGCAAGCTAGAATCACTTTGCCTTTGGATCAAAGTGCAGCCGGTGGCGGCAGTGCTCCTGGAAGATGAGAAGTTAAGAAAAGACTTGGGGAGACTTGACCACCAGGCCTTGCTAGCTTACAAACTCATTTACCCTGGACCCTACCTCCTCCTAACTGCCAAGGTCGTGCGTTTTGAACCAGATCTCTCAAAGTACTTGCAAAACTACGAAGGGTGGAGGCCAGTGAGGCTGCAGAGGGGATTGGGGGGGGGGTCACTAGAAGACTTGAACAGGCTGGGGTAGAACTGGGACTCCTCTTGACAGCGCTCGGGCGCCAGACAGGCTGGAGAACAGATAGGAGGTGCTCCAGACAGACAGGAAGACAAGACACATGTACACATACATACACCCTCTGGGTGCTTGAGGCCCCCGGGAGTTGGACCCTGCGGGGGGAGCAGACCTTGCCCTTAGCTTCCTGTCCAATGCCTAAGACCTCTCCAAGACCTTCAACCTGAGACAGACTAGTTAGGTGTCTTGTGTCTGCCACTCTGGCACCTGGTCTAGGGCCAAGGGAGCTGCGGGGGCGTTCTAAGGACCCGCCTCCAGTCTTGCTGTCTAGATGGAACACTGTGGAGAGCGCTTCTTCCCCCTGTGGTGCAGGCAGCCCCCAACGCTTCTTCTACATAGATGGCCAAGAGCCCCCAGTAGTCTACAGCTCCAGAGTGCTCTACCTTCGCTGTCCAGTGTCTTTGGACCCGGGTCACTCATTTTTCTAAATGTTTCTTTTAAGAGGAAAACTGGACAGTGGAATAGGGAAATTGCCAGCTGTGAGGTCTTGAATAATAGAAATAGGTGGGTTGGTGCTTCTACATGCAGGTTGCCTGGCAAGCCCCCCAGAGATGCAGCAGAGAGGTGATAAGAGTGGTCTCATTCTCATGGAGCTCAGGGTCTAGTGGCAGAGAAAGATAACAAACAGCAAGGCACACACCTATTGGAACTTCCAAGTGGGACATAGGTGCTCTTCCAGTAGGGCCCCTGATCAAGTGAGGCATGGACTTTGAGGTCTGGCACATAGGGAATGGACTGGAATGGGCAAATGTAGCCCACTGTCTCCAGCACTGCCCTGGGATGGTCATCTGGGATGGTTGAGCTGGACCTGAGGAGGAGTAGCCTCATGGGAGCAGGGTCCAGCTGGAAACACTTCAGTATCCACCCTCTCCCAAGTGAGAGTTCAGAAAGGCAGTGTGGTCAAGGAGTTAGGTGTAGGGGTCAGGAAATTGGAGCTGGCCTGCAACAAGATTGTCCCCTCTCTGTCACCTCACAGGTTGAGACACAGTAGAGGGCCACAGATTGGATCTTGGGTTGGTGATGAAGGGACCATGGTATGTCTACATGACCATTATGCTGATGACTTCCTTCCGTCTGTCCCCAGGCCTACAATTTTGCTTTCCCTGACCAAAATTCCCAAGATGCCCATTCTGGAGAAAGTCCCCCATCATGCAGTGGCTGAAACTCCAGAGGGTGCCGAGAAGCCTGTGAGTGTCTTTGGGAGCTCCTGTCCCCATGCATGCTGCCCAGACTCACCTGCGCAGAACAGTCTCCAAGAGGACCTGGCCCTGTTGCTACCCTCTCTCAAGCAAGAGGCCTAGCCCACAGCCCTGCCTGAGCCTTCTAAGGAGCCAGGGGAGTGGGAAGGGCTTGGAGTGTCTTGGGGGATACTATGAAAATGCTGACAGAGACACCTGCCAAATCCTCAAGGTCAGAAAGAGGCTTTGATTGGTACCAGGTACCCTTCTTTCCTCTCTAGGCTGCTTCTCACCCGCAGTGGGCCAAAAGCTTGGAAAGGCTCTACTCTAAGGCAGGGCTCATCCCCAGCAGATTTGAGAGCCAAGAGTATGGCTGTAAGTGAAGCTTCATTTTCTGCTTCAAACCCTGCTATGTCAGCTGCATCTGGCATAGTTCTTCCTAGCGCCCACTGGCTGGAGACATAGCTGCCCTGTTCCAGGTAACTTCTGTCCCGAAGGAGCACATTTTTCAAATAAATATTTGATTATGCTTTAGGTGAACAAGTATACAGACAGTTAGGTTCATATTTAACTACTTTGGTGCAAATTGTTCCATGACATGGGCTACATTTTTCACAGTATGTCACTATTCTCACTGTTTCCATTTGTTTTGTTTCCATTAGCCCAGTTTCCCAGCCCTCTCTACCTTCTCAGTTTTGTTTTAGAATAAATGATGTTTTGTCTCATTAGTACATTGTTTAAGGGAGAAGAGTATTCACTCATATGCTGCTTTCTTTAAATACATCAATCTGTTATGTGGTTGAATAATGACCAGAGGCGTCAGATTTAGTCTCAAGTTCAAAGGGCATCTAAGGTCACAGTCAAGAGGATTTCTCTAGTCTGCTGTGCTCATCCTTTTTTAAAAAGGATTTTCCAGTTTTGTTCTGCCTTTCCTCACTTTCTACCAGGAACCTTCTCTTAAGGAGTTGGTCAGAAAGATTGGCAGTTCTTGTCTCAGACTGGATGGAGCTGTGGTTCAGGTGGGCTGTGGTCCTGTGGACTTGTTTCTTCTGTTTTCTTCCTTTCCTTTTGTTCCGTCTGAGTGGGCACTAATAGTTGTTCGTGTCTTAGCTGACTGCTCACAAGATTTTAGGATCTCAGATGTCACTCACCACCCTGGGATACAGAACATTATCTTGTGCCAGAGTTGTCCTGTATGACCCTGCTCCCAAGCCTTCAACCCCAACAAACCATTCCCTCATATCTTTAAGTCTAGGAAGTCTCTGTGAGGACACCTCAATAGATCAGTACACCTTGTCTCCAGGAGCCACACATCTGGTCCTCTGCTGCAAACACCTTCTTGTCAATGCCGGACTCCTCCCTACCTTAAAACCCTGACCTTGGCTCTCTAGCTCTTCTTCCCTGTATGCTCACCAGCACAGATCTGCTCTTAAAGTTCCCTTGGCCTCTGCAACTGATCTTTGGTTTTCCTTCCAGTCTGGTATGTCCCTCTCTGGGTTCCCTAATCTGCCTTTCCACTATCCTAGTATCTTTAACAAAACCCTGGAGTTCAGAAAACACAATTAGTACAAGTCTTTGCCTGTAGTCTCAGGTCTGAACCATAAGCCACTGAGAATTTAGGGAAGAACAATATGGCAATGAGACATATAACTGAGATTTCACACCTCAGTCCCTCTTATCCATCAATCAATTTCCTGTCACTCTCATTACTTTAAGAACCAAGGAAATCTACTCCTAGCCATGGTACCAGGTTGCCATCTGGTCAGGGCAATTTGTAGGCACTTGTCCCCTCACCTACTCAACTTTGGTTTTCAAGAGAAAGAAGTAGGAGCCAGAGAACTGGGAGGGGGCAGGGGGTTTGTCTGGCCCTGGTCTTGTGGGAGTGAATCTAGAAACCTGCATTACTATCTATACCCTCTTGTACCATCCCTGCCCAGGGATATCCACAGTGGCCCAGACACTCTGCTCCTCCCCAGGGCAGTGAACTCTAGAGACAGATGAAGTTTCTTATTCATCCGTCAGCACCACCACACGTGCATACACACACACACACACACACACACACACACACACACACTCCCTCTGATTCTGCCCAGGGTTGTGCCAGTCTCCAGAGTGCAGCCAGCAAGAACAGATAAGAGCCAATGAGAACAGATCTGAGGCATACTCAGAAAAGTCCTGTGCTTCTGCAGCCACACCTTCACACCTCAGAGGGAGGAACTCCTGCAAAGAAGCAGGAGTGGCATCCACTTCCTAAACAACATGCCTCTGGAAACTCTATGAACTTTGATAGTTGTCAATAGTTATAGAAAGGCTTCAGGCCTTTTGTTCATAGGGTCACTATGAGTCATGCCCGATGGCAATCAGTAACAATAACAACAACAATTAATTTTTCCATTATTATTGACTAAGTGAGAGCTCTGGTGACTTAGTATGAAGGAATTAAGTTGTCAACCCAAAGGTATATGGTCTGAATCCACCAACTGCTCTATGGGAGAAAGATGGGCAGTCTCCTTCCTCCCACACAATTTACTGCCTCTAAAAACCAGGTGGTGGGTCTGTTATGAATCACTTCTGACTCGATGGTATATAACAACAGTAACAACAAGCGAAGAAAGGAGTCCCTGAGTGGTGCAAATGCTGAATGATCTTAGCTGCTAACAGAAATCTTGAAGTTTTATGTTTTCCCAGAGGTGCCTTGGAGGAATGGCCTGGCAATCTACTTCCATAAAAATCAGCGATTGAAAATTTTGTGGATCTCAGTTCTACTCTGACACACATGGGGTCACCATGAGTCAGAGTTGATTTCACAGAGTTGTTTAAGTGATGAAGAAGAAAAGGGAGAGCATAAAAAAGGGAACAAGGGAAGTGAAGGTAGGAGTGAGAGAATGATCAAAGATATAGGAGCAAAACAAAAGTTGAAGAATTGATCTCTGGTTTAAGCCTGGCTGCCAAACTGCTGTATGACTTTGAGATAGTCCTGCCACTCTAGGAGCTTCAATTTTCTCTCCCATAAGCAGAAAAAAAATCTCTGCTCTAGCTGCCACAAAATTGTTGAAAACATACATGAGGTACTTATGTGGCAAATGGCAAAGTCCAGTGTCGGGTGTTCATATGGAGAAGACAGTGGTGAGAAACTCTGTCCAGACTCCACTTATGCTTTGTGGCCTGGGTTTCCTCTTAAGAATTCTTCCAAAGGGACAAGGACAATAACAGTATAACATTTTGTGTGCCTCTTTGGGCCAGTTGTTGATCTCAGGTAATACTTTTACATCACTCAGGTAGAAATTGCTCTTTTTGCTTGATGGATGAGGAAGCTGATGCTTGGAGGGATTTGGGAGAAGAACTTCCCTCTATAAACATAGATAATAAAATGCCCCTTCATGGATTTAGTAACTCTGGCATGGATTTAATAAAGAACTCAAGAAATGAGTCATGTTCCCTGGCAACATCTTGTAGAATTCTGGTCTTTAAAGCAATGTTGAGGGACGGTTCCTGCCATCCGAAAGCATAATTCATCTGTCCAAATCTCCCCTTTACAGTAATGTTCTGTGGATAAAAAAATGTTATTAGATTCAAGAACCCCAATTGGGAACAGTTCCTAAATTAAGAGTGACCAGTAGTTTACAATACCAATAACAGGATATTTCACCATTGATGATGGTCTTTTATGGATTCTGAAACCTCTGCATTCAGTATCTCTTAGCCTTCACTTTAGGGAAAGGAAATGGAGTGACTTGCTCAAGATCATACACCTGGTTAGTGGCAGGGTTGGGGTATGAACCTAGGTCTATCTGGTGCCCATATCTTGATTTTTCATTCTGTGCTTTGTCCCCCTTTGAGGGTGTGGGTTAAAGAAGGGAGAAACAGCAAATAGAAGCTTTGGAAATTAATACTCAGTTGCTGGGATAAGGAACAAGGTAGGAAATAAGTATGGGATGGTTGGAGACAGATACTAAGAATGTGCTCAGGGTTGCAGTGATGCAAGGACAGACCCAGTGTCAGCCTTCTCTTCCAGGGCCTGCCCAAACTGCCAGTACCCCCTCTGCAACAGACTCTGACCACTTACCTGCAATGCATGGGCCACCTGGTGCCTGAGGAGCAGTTCCAGAAAAGCCAGGCCATTGTGAAGCAGTTTGGGGCCCCTGGTGGCCTTGGTGAGGCCCTTCAGCAGAAGCTTCTAGAGCGGCAGGAGAAGACAGCCAACTGGGTAGGAGTTGTTAGGGCTCTGGGATTGTGTGGGTGGCCTGGAAGCAGTCATAAGGGGACCTGACAATGGGCCCCTGTAGGAAGGGCAGGAGGTAGAAATGAGAAGTCAATGGATGTTTGTATGGGAACAGACAGGTCACAAAAATGGGGCAAGTCAAAGGACAGAGGTGGGAGGGCAGATGGAAATAGAGTGGGGACATGAATGGACATATAGAGTGCAAAGGGCAAGAAGGAAAGACAAAATGTAGGTCTGGGAACTAAAGACAAAGCCAGAGAGAAGAGAAAAGGATAGAAATGGGAAATAAAAAGTAAATACAGTCCAAAAAAAGACTAACAGAAAAAAACAACTAAAGAAAAGTTCACACATTGAGTCAATCTTGGAGGATTTACAGGGGCTAAAGAGGAGCAAAATTTAATGAACAGATCATTTGGATGAAGGGAAAGAAAAATATATTAATATTAAAAAATCTTAAAGAAAAGAAAAATAATAAAAGATGAGTACATACTGAAGGACAAAGATGAGGGACAATGGAGATGGAAATGAGAAGGGAGGGAAAAAGATGTGGGACAAATAAGGACATAGTAGGGGCAAGAGAGGAATAGGGAAGTCAGAAAAATGAACAGGGGTGAAGGACTGAGACAGGACACACATTAGAATAAGCATGAGGACTGGAGCAAAGAACCAAACTTGGAAGCTGATGTGAGAGGCATGGGACAGGAGTGAGGGTAGGTGTGGTGGACTGCATGCATCTGAAGAATACAGAGACCTGAGTGTCTGTGTTTGTGGATTGAATTAATTGGATGATCAAATGTCATATTCTAGTTGTTTCTTGGGGCTGACAGGCTGGGAACTGGTGCCCTTATTCGGGATGCAGCTGTTGCTTGTGGGACCACTGATTATGGATCATGAAGCCCCTTCTTCCCTCTTTCCTGGCAGGTATCTGAGTACTGGCTTAATGATATGTATCTCAATAACCGCCTGGCCCTGCCTGTTAACTCCAGCCCAGCCTTGATCTTTGCACGGCAACACTTCCAGGACACCAATGACCAGCTAAGGTGAGGCCAGCTACTTGGGCCCAGACTGTACAGGGCCTTGCAAGTGTTCCTTAGACTGTGGTTGTTTTAGATCATCTGGTTGGGGAAGAAGAGAGGTGAGGTGAGGCTGTGATTGATAATGAATACATGCCTTTACCCACGATATATTTATTTAGAAGGGGACCATTAATTGAGGTCACGGGTCTCCAGGGACTCTAGGCCAGACTTAACCTGATTGAGGCCCTGAGTAGAGGTGTGTGCCCTCGACCCCTGCCAGCACTTACACTGGAGACATGCTGGCTGTCTCAGAGAGAACCTCCGCCTTCCAAAGCTCCCAGGCCTAAACAGGATCCCAGGGTGGGGGTGGAGGTTTGGGGACAGGTTCCTCCCAGCCAGCTTCCCCACACTAAAGCTCCACCATCTGCTGCAATTTCAGAGCTCAGTGAGCCATGGGGAGGGCTGATGGATGATGGGTGCCATGCAAGCAGGAGTGGGCGTAAGGGGGGGGTGTCTTTCAGAGCCATACCTGAATCCCTAGTGTCATGACCAGAATGAGGTGCAGGATGCAGACAGACAAGGACCAGCCCTACTTTCAGACAAGCCCAGGGCTCACCCATTCTGAGTGGGGCTCAGCCAGGCTCCTATTGTTCCCACTCTCTTTCTCAGTCTGTCTGAAGAAATGGATGAGTGACTTCTCCAAATTGTATCCAAGGGGGCATTTTCCTCCCAATGCAATTAAACCTGGATTCATCACCTGATGAAATGGCCAATTAAAATGAGGTAGTCCCTTGGATCCCATCTTGGGTCATTTTTCCAGCACCCACCTTTCTTTCATTAGATCTAACCAGGTGCCACAGCAAGGTCAGGTGGCCTGGTGGTAAGGAGTTGCACTGCCATCCCAAAGGCAGGCAGTTTGACTCTGCCAGCTGCTCTGCAGGAGATAGATAGTCATCTCCTCCTGTTTGATCTACTGAAAAAAAGCCTCTGAAAAATCCACTGGAGGGTCAGCTATGAGTTGGTTTTGCCTCAATGGCTCACGACAACAACAGCGGCCAGTTGCCACACAGTTGATTATGATTCATGGCAACTCCTTGTGTGTCACAGATGGAGATGTATCCATCATCAGATCATTCTTCTGAGGCATCTCTGGATGTACTTGAGCTTTTGTACCACCCCGGTGTTTCTCATTAGTATTTACGCATCATTATTGACTTTATTTTGAAGTCTGCATATCTTTAATGGAGTCTCCCCATTTTACTTTCATTGAAGCAGCTGGTGGATTAGAACCACTGAGCTTTCTGTTAGAAGCACAGATCATAATGTATCATGCTACCAGAGCTCCTTTATTAATATTTAGGGAACTAAATGACATGTTCGTAGAAAACTGGATTTCTCTCTCTCTTCAGGTTTGCTGCCAACCTCATTTCTGGTGTGCTGAACTACAAGGCCCTGCTGGACAGGTAGGGCTGAACCAGCCTGGAAAGAGTGGCTCCCTGTTAGCACAGGCTGTCCAAGCCTGTCTTCCTGCTGCCTCAGACAGGAAGCGCCTGCCCTCTGGGTGTCTCTGTCCACATTCTTGCTCCTTCTTCTCCCATAGTATCTTGATAACCTCTACCTCATCTAGCCTTACCAAGAACAGCAACTTTTTCTGAGGTAGTATCATCCTTTCTGAATGTCTTTAAAATACCCCTTTCTCTCCATGCCACCTAAGTTCATACTAGGTGTGAATTAGTTTGTCAGAAATCCCAGGACACATCAGAGAGTAGAGAAGGAAAGCTGTTGGGGTGAGAAATCAGAAGTTCAGCTCTACTACTTGAGTAAGTATGGTTTTCTCACTCTTACTTAACCCCATCAAACTCAAGAGATGGGAGAGAGACTTAGTGGACATAAAGTGGTCTGATAGGTTGGAAGACCTGCATGAGCTTGGTGAAGTGGTGCTGATTTTAGGAGGGAAGATCTTCTCCTGATTGGGGAGCATCAGTGAGAGGGAGAAGACTCAGCAAGGTCAGGTTCTGTAGCAACAGAGAAAATAAAGACATCAAATGTTTAAAGAGGGAATCCCAAAGCAAGGTTTACTTCACAAGTGAGGAAGCCAGCACCCAGCTTACCTCTTATCACAGTCAGGAGACAGCTGAAAGAGGAAAGCAGAAGAGACAAACTACCTTTTCAATTTGGGTCCAACTCACTCTTGCCTTGTCTTCATCCAGAGAATCAGACTCATAGCCATTCCAGAGAAGGATAGAGCCCTAAGACAGAGTAGCATAGGGCCATGTCCCTGGAATAGGCAGATTACAGTGTGAATTAACACTCACAATACAGGATGTGCTAGGCAAATCTAACCACTTCCAGCTAGTCTTTCATTTTTCCAAAGGGAAGAACAATGACAGCTGCCTCAAGAACTTCGTCCTCCAGCTTGCAGTAACCAATCTCTGATTCTCAGTCTCTGATTTAAAAGAGCCTCATTCCTTACAATACCATAGCTGGGCAGCAGAGGCAGGAGGGGTCAGGGCCCTTCTTCCTGGGGCTGGGATTTTTGTTCCATCTTCTGATAATAGTTTAGACCCCAGACTCACATGGGCATGCAAGTGTGTATGTTTAAGTGTGTATACATATGTAAGTGTATGTGCATGTGTGTGTGGAGTGCCCACATGTATATACACATATGTGTGTGTGCCATTTATACTCATATTTATATATCTACACATACCTCCATGCAGGTTCACATCACATCACTGTAAAGCCACAATGTTGAGACATTTGGTTGAATTTTGGGTCTCTTGTTCCACTTGCTCATTTATTCATTCATTCACTTTAAAAATGTTAATGGTTTGCATACAATAATTGATTTATATTGTGTTTCATTCACATGTTTTATTGGTTTTGCTCCGTTCCTTCACCCACCAAACTCTGGGACCCCTTAATTCCCATCCTCAATTTCATAGCTCCTTCCCCTTCCCTCTTTGGATATCCATACATTTTACTGGTTATCCTTCTGTTTTTACAATAATGGTCTTATACAGTATTTGTTTTTATGCGCTTGAGGTAGTTTACTCAGCATAATTTTTGCTGGGGAGATGAAAGGATATAAGGCCTCATCCCTGCCCTTGGGAGACTCTCAATCATTGGCAATGTAGATCCAACTTGTAGCTAGATCTCCTTCTCCAAGGCTTCTATGAGTTTCACTGGCACATCTCAGTCACTGCAATCAGTTGGTTTTTGGATGTCCTTCTCAGGCCTCAAGCTAACCCTCACCCTGACTTGTCATCTTATTAAATGCACAATCCAGGCAGCAAATCCAGAAATCTAGATATCACTATGATTCATCTTCCTTATACCCTTTTCATATTTGTTGTTGTTGTTGTCCTTAGTATTTTTTGTTTTCCTCTTCTTTTTTTTATTAATTTTAATGAAAGTTTACAGAGACTTAGGTTTCCAGTCATTCATTGTTACACTTTTCTCCCTTCTCCTTGAAAAGAAAAAGAAAAGCTCTTTCATTGTTATGTAATCCCTCCCCCCAAGTTCACTCCACTATGCAGCCTTCCCTCTAGGCTTCTGTAATGACGATAATATCCATTCATATATACCTTTTAAACAGATCTCTCAGTCATTTGTTTCAATGCAATATACATTATTCCTTCCCTCCTTTTCTGTCTTCCCTCAATCCTGGTGTCAGTCCTGTTTTACAACAGTGGCCTTATGCAATATTTGTCCTTTTGTGACTGAGATATTTCACTCATCATAATGTCCTCCAGGGTCATCCATTTTGCATAATATTTCATGAGTTCCTTATTTTTCAATGCTGCATAGTATTCCCTTGTGTGAATATACCACAGTTTCTCTATCCATTTGTTTTTGATGGGCACTTGGGCTGTTTCCAGCTCTTTGCTATTGCAAATAAAGCTGTAATAAACATGGGTGTGCATAAATCTGCTTGGCTGGCAGTTATGGTTTCTTTAAGATAAATTCCCAGTACTGGAATTGTTGGGTAGACCTTTCTCATCTTAGTGCTATTTGTCATACATATGGCTATCCAGACAGCCCTCCAGACAGTCCATCCTCTAGCAATCCTCCAAAAGCCCTCCAGACTGTTCTCCAGATAGTCATCCAATAAGCCATCAAAGCAGCCCTCCAGGCAGTCATCCAAACACTTCATCCTCTAGACACTGTCCAGACAGTCTTCCAGACAGTTTGTCCTCTAGAAACTCTCTAGACAGTCCTTATGACAGTCCATCCTCTAGACAACCCTCCAGACAGTCCTCTTTACAATTCATACTGTAGACACTCTTCAGATAGTCCTTCCTCTAGACAATTCTCTAGAAAGTTCACCCTCAAAACATTCTCCAGACAGTACTCCAGATAGTTCATCTTCTAGACACTCCTCAAACAGTCCTCCAGACAATCTGTCATCTAGACAACCCCCTAGACAGTCCTCTAGACAGTTCTCCAGTTTGTCCTCTAGACATCCCTCAAGACAATCTGTCCTCTAGATAACCTTCCAGATAGTTCTCTAGAGAGTTCATCCTCTAGACAGCGCTCCAGAGTGTCCTCCATACAGTCCTCCAGAAGTTCATTTTCTAGAGACTCTCCATAGAGTCCTCTCAACAGTCCTTCCTCTAAACATCCCTCCAGACAATCCTCCAATTTGTCCTCTAGACAGCCCTCCAGGCAGTATATCTCTAGACAACACTCCACAGTCCTCCAGACTGTTCTCCACAGTCCATCCTCTAGACAATTCACCAGACGGTCCTCCTGACAGCCCTCCAGACATTTTTCCAGACATTTTGTCTTCTAGAGACTCTCCAGACAGTCTTCTAGAGAGTCAATCTTCTAGAAAGTCAGTGCTCTAGACAATTTTCCAGACAGTCCTCCAGACATTCCTCTAGAGAGCCCTCCAGACAGTTCTCTAGACAGTTTGTCCTCTAGACACTCTTTTTTAAAAAATTATTATTAAATTTTATTAGTTTTAATGAACATTTAGAGAGATTTTGGGTTTTCATTCATTCATTGTTGCACTGTTTTCTC